CATATGTACTAAAAGGTGTTTTGACAACAAATATACATCAGCTGTAGCAGCATCATATGAATTCTGGCATTTTACACATAGTCCACCAGGATGCACCAACACAAAAGTCAGAGACTTCACATGAGATTTGGGCCATCTTCTGGGGGAAAAGCAGATTACTCTGGTGGGGAAACCTTTTTTCAGGGTTACAAACTTTTTCAGAACACCGGTTGACGGCAGTCCTTACAGACGAACATGTGTTTGTTGTTGTTAGAGGAGAGGCTCGGTCACACGCTAATGTCATTAGTTCGTTATCATTTCTAAGGTGCCGGACTGATTTCCCCCCTTTTTTTCACATCATGTCGCCTGCCTGGATTGGTTACTAGCTTGCTCTGAAGTGCGATGGAGTGTCAGAAGTAAGCTCGCTTCAACTGCTTTTTACGACGAGGTCTCATTTCCGGACTCAGTCATTTGGTGAATGAAGCCAATATTTCAGTTAAAATACATAAGTAAAAATATTTATCCGAGTATGGTACTACCTCCCCCCCAACTTAATGGATGATTTTATGGATTTAATTTTATGTATTATACTTGAATAAATACGATATTTCCTGAAGAACTCAGATTGTCAAAAATGAATAGTCAAAGATCAAGACGTAACAGACCAATTGCAGCGTTTCAGGTAATTCTGAAACTCTGCATTTGAATTGCTAAATTAGCATAGCTGTTTCTCATGTTCATCAGTCTTGTGTGCATTTACCACTTTATTTTTGTCCAGTTGTATTAAATTGCCTCTGTATTGGTCTCTGTTATCCTGATTTTTTTCTCGCAGGTAAAATCACATCCAACACAATTTCACAGTGCCACTTAAAACTGTAAATAATATAACTCTGTAATGCTAGGTCTTTAATGTATGTTTGCTCATTCTACCTTTGCTGACCTTTCAGTCCAACTTTTCATTAAAAAAGTAGTTTTGTCTAAGCCACTTTAGATTCACTCTAAATCCATTACCATTTCTTGATCAATGAAATTCTTGAGCACAAAAGCAATGCTGTTGCCACTGAAATTTACAATTTTCTAGTTCTTGAATGAGTGATTAGATACCAAAATATGACTTTCTGTAATAAAGATCAGTCTTTGATAATTGGCCCAGAGAATTTCTTCTACAAACTCAGACAAAATCATATGAAGGCCATTTCAGTGTAAAAGAAAAATAGCCATAAGCAGAAATAGTGAAAAACAAGCCAGATTGCCCAGAGAATTGCTTGTGGGGTCACAAGAAGGAAACAAAAAACAAACTTAACGTGTGGAGAACATATGACAGAAAGTCTTGGATGCATTTAATGAGTGCAGTATACTAACAGGGTTGCACACTGAAGAAGTACAAATGTGTACACAGAGACATTTTGAAGCTTTGAAGATGGTTGGAACAYGTTTTATTTTGGGTTTTCAGTGTTTAGCTGTTGCATGCATTTGGTTTTCCATCTGAAACTGATACRGTRAAAGAAGCTGGGAGAACAGGTTCATGTTGTGTTTGGGATGGAGTATGTAGGTTAGAGAAAAAAAATAACAAGTGGGTGAAATCCAGTGGGAGGAAGTGGGGAAGTGTTTGTAAAATCCCTGGTGTGGGGTGAACAGGAGGGCACTCTCAGATGAACTCTTCACATTTCTCATCTCCTTGTTTGAGGGGGCAGCGTTGTTCAGTTATGACAGAAAAAGAAAAAAACAACTGGGACAACTGGCCTGCTTAAAATATCTTACAATATGTCGGAGGGTCACATCTTACACTCGCACAAAGAAGAGGAAACACCAGGACTTAAGTTCTAGCTGAAATGTTTTAAATAAATAAATGAATAAATACATTCTCATTTGCAGCTCGCTGACAGTTTGTCTTGCATTCTTCTGCTGATGATATCATTCAGCTTCTGCCTCCACCCTCTTCCTCTGCAGTTGTAGAGAAGTGTCTCACCCAGATATAGCAACAATATCTGCAGCATCAGTCAGGATGAGGAAACATTAGCCTAATTGTTGCATTTTCAAAAAAACATGTTTACATATATACATTTGTAAGGGTCAGCTTACACTTCTTATAACAGGGTTAT